CGCGCCCCCTGCCTCCCGCCTGCCTTCCTCTCCCTTCCCATCCTCTTCCCGCCAGCGCTCCTCCCTGGCCTGCAGAGCGGGGTTACCTGAGGGCACCATGCCTTATTCATAGGCAGCTGCAGGCAGCAGCCCCATTGCAGCCAGCAGCCAGATGAAGCCTGCTGCCTGCACGTGCGCCTTGCAGCCCAGGTGCCCTGGCAGTGCCACCCAGACAGGGTGGCAGAGGAGGTTTGCCTGCTGGAGCTCACACTGGTGCAGTCTGGAGGGAGGACATCCCTAGAAGGATGCTGAGCCTCTCCCTGCAGCCCCAGCCCTGCCAGCAACAAAAAATCCAGCAGCGCTTGTGTGCAAGAGGGAATGGATCCTGGCTTGGCTGAGCTGACCAGCCTGCTTTTTGACAGGGGTCAAAAATCCACCCGCCCTTAGCTTTGCCCAGCGGGCAGGGACTTGGTGCAGAGCTGCCTGGGGATGGGCTCAGTGGGAAAGCCTGACTGCTCGGGCTGCCCGTGCGGTGCTGCGGCAGGGAGGGAGTTAAGGAGAAACCCTGTCCGGGCAAACCTGCTGCCCAGGGGGGAGAAGAGGACAAGGAGGAGTCAAGGTCAGGGGTCCGAGGCCCATGTGCTTCCTGCTCCCAGCCTTGACAAGAGCCAGGGGAAGCAGGGAAGGAAGGGAGTCTTGTAAACACTGCAGTGGGGCCGGACGCGGCTGCCGGAGAGCACAGCCCTTCCTCTGCTGCGCTCGCTGCCGGACACTTCACCGCTCCTGCCCCTGAGGGGAGACCCCAGGGACCTGCCAAGGCAGCACGGCCCAGCAGCCCACGCACTCGCCCTGGCTCGAGCTTGCCGCCCAGGAGGGAGACACGGCTCTGTGCTGCCATGGGTACTTGGCCAGGGTTGCTGGGTGCCAGTGGTGCCTCAGAGGTCCCAGCTCCAGCAAGAGGCTTTCCTCTTGGCTCCTGTGCTAGGAACAAGTAGAGCTGGTATGTTCCTGTAAAGAAATGATTCCCCATAAAGAAATGATCCCCAAGGGTCTGCCCCTGGAGTGGTCTCAGGAGCAGGGTTTTTATAACAGCAGCTGCCCCTAGAGAAGGAGGTCCTCTGGCACGGGGCTTCCTCTGAGTGCGAAGGGTGCACCAGGTTAAACAGCCAGGGTGCCTCGGCATGGGCCAGCCGATGTGCATGTTCCTGCCGCGCTGCTGAGCCCCCTACCAGGGAGCTGTGGGACTCCTATGCGCTTTCCCCATCTTCTGTCCCCCCAGACTGCGCAGGCTGCAAGGAGGAGATCAAGCAAGGCCAGTCCCTTCTGGCCCTGGAGAAGCAGTGGCACGTCAGCTGCTTCAAGTGCCAAACGTGTGGGATCATCCTCACCGGCGAGTACATCAGCAAGTGAGTGCCACTGTGCTGGTGGCAGGCTTGGCCGTGCTGGCCATTGCTGGGCTGCACCCCCCAGGGCTGGGGCTGGGGCTGCAGCGAGGGGGTGCCCAGCCTGGCTCACCCCGCTGCTCACCCCCTTCTCCTCCCTTTCCCAAAGGGATGGCGTCCCATACTGTGAGTCCGACTACCATGCTCAGTTTGGCATCAAGTGCGAGACCTGTGACCGGTACATCAGCGGCAGGGTCCTGGAGGTGAGTCCTGGGGCCATGGCCACCCCATCCTGGTCTGTAATAGGGACCACGTGCGTCCTGCCCCGAGGTGCGTGCCTTGGGGAGGCGTGGGAGTTTCATCATCCTACACCCTTGTCATGCTACCCTTGGTCTCTTGGGGCCATGGCTCTTCCTGCGGCAGGTGTGTGGACACAGTCTGACCACCTTCTCTGGAGGGTGGAAGTGGAGGAAGGAGCAACGCCACACTGCAAACCTTCGGAGTGGTGGCTTGGGTACTGGAGCTCCAGAAAGCAGCCAGAGCACGCGGTGGCCTGGGTGTGCTGGGATGCGTCCGGAGCCCAAGATGTGGGGACACTAGCCTTAACTGGCTGCTACCATGCCCATCTCTGGAGTGTCCCCACTGTGCTCACCTCAGCCCAACTTCTGAGCGCATCCCTGTGCAGGCAGCCTGCCTGTTGCCTTGGAAACACATCCAGCACAGCTGCCTGCTGCGGAGCCTGGGCGAGGGGCTGCAGCACCCCGCCAGTAGGCAGCTGTCCCCACAGCACACCCCTTTGCAGGACAGCCACTGGAGCAGGGGGTCCCCTGCCCTGGGCCAAATCCAGAGGGGGCTTTGCTCATTACCTTGCTGGCCAGCAGGAGCTCCTCTGGCAGAGCCATTGGGGGATGCAGAGGTCACACAGGGATCCCACAGCAAGGCATGGATGCAGGTGGACGTGGAGGGATGTTTTGGGCAATGGTGGAGCTGCATAGCCAGCAAAGGTGGGGGGAGTGGGGTTTGCTGTTGGGGAGGGACACAGAGGTCCATCAGGGCTGGTCTTTCTCATCAGGCAGGCAGGCAGCAAGTCCTTCCTGCGGTCCCTGCTCCTGGAGGTGAGATGTCCTGTCATGCTTTCTGTTTCTACCCCAACATTTGCAGGGGAAAAGAAAAAGCAGGAAAATCTGGTCTGAGGGTAAACTAAAGACTCAGGAGCCAGGAGGCAGAGAGAAAGATGTCAGAATGAAATCTGTTGTGATTTTTAGACCCCCTGGTGATGCTGTGGGGCTGGGCTGTGGTGGTGTAAAGAGGCAGCAATGCTGAAAGTGTGCTCAGTCACTCCTGAGACCTTCCCTTCGTGAGAAGGGAAGATGTGGGTGGCATTGGCACCCACACCTCTTTCCATCTCCAGACAGTAACGATAGGAAGCTGTATCCCAAAATCAGACGTACTGTGGCTCCACAGTGAGTCAGGCTGCAGGTGCTGTGGGCTGGAGTGGCAGTGGCCGTGTAGGTCTCCAGCCTGCTGAGAACTCTTCCAGGATATCTCCAGCCTGTTTCACTCAGAGCCTACCAAGAAGTGGTCACCCCCTCTGGTCCTGCTGGCTGGGCTGGCCTGAGAGCACCCAGCGTGGCCAGGGAACCTCTCCTGAAGCTGGAGCCAGGTGCCAGGAGCCCTCCAGCATCTTCTCCCTCTTCAGGGAGCTGCCTGTGCCTGGAAGGCTTTCTGCTGACTCCAGACTTCGGCAGCAGTCCCAGTGCTGGCTGCTGTGAGCATGAGCTCAGCGCTGCAGCGG